AAATTTCTTATATATCTCACCAAGGGCAAGCTTTTATATAAAGGAATATATAAATATCTTCATGGCTGCATTAATACTGTGCAGCATGAACATCATTAATGGAAATTTTTGTACCTATGGATCACATGAGATTTCAACTCTCTGTAATTTAAATAAAATGCAAATGGAGCCTGGATATGAAATTAGAGGTTATGTACTAAGAAAAAAAAGACTAAAAATGTCCTAAAAAGTACTAATCGGTAGTTAAAAGGAAGAGAGGGAGGAAGGCAGGAAGGGAGCAGGCAAACACGCAGCCAAAACAACCTGCAACAAAGCCCTGCTCGTTCCCACACAGAAAGACAAAGGGAAATCCTATTTAGGGATTCCATGACATTCAAAGGAGTATATAAAATAATAGTCACAGCATAAGAAAACACTCTGGCAGGCTAACTGGTCAAGTTAAAGTCTCAAAAGGCACGGGGTCTTTAGACGTGGATGGTAAGTATGCTGAATCCATAGGCTACGTGGGAGGAGAAGAAACATACAAACAAAAGGATACCAATTATGATGCATGATAAAAACTTGTTAAAAAAAATTCATACCCAAGATTCCCAAAGTGATCAGATCTACCTATCGAACAGGACGACAGTGTTACCTGAAGCCAATACAGCCTGGCCCTTAAACTTCTTTGGTGAGGAGATTGCTTAAATTCCACCTGAATTCCTGATAAAAAATCTCTTTTTATAGGGCACCGAGCAGGGAGGCGCATTTCCATTGGGTCTTTACCAAAATTCACCTGAGGAAAAAGCGTATGTATCCGTGATGAACTGGTTATGGCAATGGAGCCCATTTAAAATATCCATTAACTCACAAACTGAAAGGAAGAATGTCTTAATCTCTGGGTCTCACCAGAAGATCTACCTTAAAATGATCTACAGTTGAGATATCTGAAGCAGAATCATCACTTTTCTACCAAAGTTATGAGGAAAACAAGAAAACAACTGAAGAACATTTCAATAACATAAACTATTCTTAAAGAAGGTAAGTCATGCTTTATATTTTTTAAAAAACCTCAGTAATAATGGGTAATTCTAGATAATCCTCAAACTTTGTTTTAACAAGCTAAACAACGAATAGTTAATAGCTTATTTATGTCTGACACTAATTGTATAGTGTTTTCTTTTTTTTTTCATTTGCACACAACCAACATTTATAAGGATGAGGGTGGCGGTGGGGAGCATATCTGGTGACAATGCAAACTCAACCATCAGACAGCAAAGACGAGAAACCCAAACTGTATGACTGAACCTGCGGTCAAGCTTCTGCGGTTTTCTTGGAGGAAAAATGACTCCCAGTTTCAGCAGTTTAGGAACCTGTGTAGACTGCCCCTTTATTTGTGGACACTTACTCAGGTCCAACAATCATTCACATTTAATGAATTTAATCAAGCAGGTTTTCTTTAGAGTTTTCATCACTGAGATAAACAGTATTGCACAGCCCTCATTTAGCAATATATTTTGGTATCATTCAAAATATAAGAGGAGGAAAAGTTTCAATAAGCAATCTTAATTTCTCCACAATCTTCCTAAAAACAAATTCCATGAAACTATCTGCTTTGTAAATAGAGGGACTTCTAAAAACACAGATGAGAAACATATTTAATTAATGTTTCATAATATATAATTTAACAACAATATACCTTAATTAAAAATGTACTAATCAACGTTATTAGTCATGCCAATTCTACTAATAAATTAGTTTCTACATATACATTTTTACTTGGATAGTAAAATTCTACTTACTACCACTAGCAACAACAAAATACACATATAAGAAACAAAACAAAAGAATTTTGGTATACCTCAAAATTATCATCTAGTTTAATCCAGCCATGGTCTCTTGATTCTTGGTATTTCTGATAGGACTTTTCCAATAAAATTATCTGCTTTTGACTAAAAGGCTTCCATTTCCA